AAAGTGTCTACTGTTCTGCAGTCGAGGAGGCAAAGACCCACAATCTCTGGGAGACGGTCTCCTTTACCCTTGGTCCTCGGGACTTCTTTACCTGTTCCCCCCCTTACCATCCTCTGTTCTGCAGTCGAGGAGGCAAGGACCCACAATCTCAAGGGTAATCTCCTTTACCCTTGGTCCTCGGGACTTCTTTACCTGTTCCCCACCACCACCTCTGCTTCTTAGAGTGGTCCCTAAAATTCTCAAAGATGCCGCGGACTGTATCTTAATAACCCTATGGTGGCCGAGACAACCTTGGTTTTCAACGGTCCTGGAGTTATCACAGTTATCATCAGTTCCCTCCGGCTCAGGACCTCCTCCTTCTCTCCAACTCCCCCATCCTACATCACGACATACCGCAATTTCCAAACCGGCTTCTCCTCCCGCGTAGTGAACATCCTCTTGAATTCCAGGAAGCCTACTACGCGGAGGTCTTACAATTATAAATGGTGAAGGTTCTGTTCTTCCCTTGGTGATGACGCCCCTTGAGCCACCTCAGTGGGTCTCGAAAGAGTTTTCCAATTCCTCCTCTCCTTGGCTGATTCGGGACTTTCCCATTCATCATTAAGAGTTTATTTGGCCGCTCTCTTGGCCTACCATGTTCCAGTTGACGGATGCACTTTGTTTTCACATCCGATTTCCAAACGATTTTTAAAGGGTTTGTTACACCTCTATCCTCCTGTCAAAACTCCAGTCGCTCCCTGGGACCTTCCTCTAGTTCTACGCCAGCTCACGAGGAAGCCCTTTGCTACATGTGATTTCAAACTCCTCGCATGGAAAACGGCCTTTTTAATTGCTATCACATCGGCAAGGCGAGTTGGAGAAATCTTGGCTTTCCGACACGATACACTTTACCTGTCGTTTCTGCCAGACGGAGTCCGCCTCGTCCCGGACATCTCCTTCCTGTCTTCCTCCCTGACTTCTTTCCAAATCCAACATCAGCAGAGAACAAATTATTACACACCTTGGACGTGAAGCGTGCTCTCCTGTTCTATCTCAACAGAACCCACCCAACTAGACGGGACTCACAACTTTTCGTCTCATATGCTCCGGCACGTCTGGGTACTCACATCACGGCCCAGCGCCTGTCAAAGTGGATTGTAGGTCTAATCCATCTATGCTACCTACTCGCCAAACAGCCATTACCTGGCCCTATCAGGGCTCATTCTACCAGGGCTGTCACAACTTCCACTGCCTTCCTCCAGGGAGTGCTGCTGACGGACATGTGCAAAGCCGCTACGTGGGCCACGCCTAACACCTTCATTAGGCACTATGCCCTAGACGTCCTTACGAACACCAATACCAACATGGGACGTCACATTCTGTCTTCAGCTACGCAGTAAAAGACCTGCCAGCACCCTCCTCCAGGTAGGCTACTGCTCGCTAATCTCCCATGGGTGTGAAGCACAGAGACCACGTCGAAGATAAGCAGGTTGCTTACCAGTAACTGGTGATCTTCGAGTGGTCATCTGTGCATTCACACCACCCGCCCTCCTTCCCCGCTGCTGTCAGCTTCTACATTTTTAATAGGGGTTGATTTGCGGCGGTTTGAAGGAACTGGCAGGTGTCCGCGCCCACCCCTCTGGGGCATGCGCGGTGGGGTTCCTGCGCATGCCCAAGGGACTGGGCGCGAAAATCCGTTAAAAGAGCTTGCTACAGCACCGATCGATCCAGCACATGTGCACTAGATCCCATGGGTGTGAATGCATAGATGACCACTCGAAGATCACCAGTTACTAGTAAGCAACCTGCTTTTACACTTTCATCTTCAGTTTCAGCTGCTCACAAAATGGTCCAGTGTCAACTGGTCAAATAGAGGAGGCAGAGATAAATTTAATTTCAGCTTTATAGTACAAGTACAAGCCAAAGTAGCTAGCAACTTTAAGCCAGCTTGTGTCGGAGAATTGAGGAAGACACACAGTCCAGGGACCTAAAAACTGCATTATGAGAAGTTCTCTGGATTGTTTCCAATTTGGGACTGTAAGTTTCTATCCATATAGGAGCTCCATGTAACAGCTGGCCTTAAACACCTGGTTTACCAGGGGAATATGTTGTCTACTTTGTGGCCTATAAAATCTCTGAACAGCAGCCAATGAGACTTCGGTACTAGAAAGAAAGAGAGAAGTTGAATAGGATGCCCAAATATGATGACATATCTAGAGACCAGGATTGCAGCTGCTAGTGCCCTTACTTGGGGGGGAAAATAACTTTTTATCTTGGGTAGTTAAAACTAGCAATTCTGAGGTACGATAGAAGGACCAAAAAGTTTAGGGCATGTCAGATATCAACTGCCGACGAAGTACAGCGTTATTTGTCATATGGTAGTGTAGGAACTGTAAGGCTGGCAAGCCTTGGAGCATGAAGGAAAGCTTATGGGATTGATCAGACAAAGAGACACTAAATAATTGAGGGGCTAGAATACAGGCATGGCAGACTACCTCTGAATGTCTGTTGCTTTGAAAGCCCTATGGGGTTGCCACAAGTTGGCTGCAACTTCACGGGGGGGAAATGCAGGATGTCATTGCTGAGGTCTTTCTGCTCCCACCTCAGAATGTTCCAGGAGATCATTTTCAAAGGTCTTGTCTTGGGATGTAGAGAAAGTTTTTGATCTAATGGCTGTACACCACCAACTTAGCTTTCTGGATCACAGACATTACAGGACTTAACAGGATACCTTGGTTGGGAAAAGCCATGTTGCTAGGCAAGACGCTAGGGCTCTGTGCCGACTTGGGAGCCGTCCAGAAATGTCTAATGGCCTACTAATCCATATCTGTAAGGTTTTTGAGGTAGGTGGGAATTAGGAACAGAAGATAGAAGCTGAGGTTAGGTGGTCTCACTAGGAACTTCGGGAATTACTGGACACAGAACTTCAGCTGCATTTTGCAAAGCATTTTTATGGCAGATACTTCAAACCCATATTTTAATTTGTTAGCCTTGGAAATTATGAATAATATGAATCTTTTTTTAAATGTAACAGAAGAGAAAAAGAATGAAGAAAAGACTGAATCAAATGAAGTTGCCTCTACAGGAAAATCCAAAAGGCGTTTTCCTGATTTTGGGTACGATTTCTTCATATTTTAGTGATGAATTAGTAAAGTTCTTTTATTATCTGACTGAACTACATTTTTACTATATATTGTTAGTTTGCCAATTGCACATCTCCTGAGAATAGAATCTCCTGGGGGTCTTGCTGTGTCTTCGTGTTCTGTTGGTGACAGTGAAAAATGCTTATTTTCAGCTATGTCTGTTTAGGAAGCTGGCTCTCTATTTACATATGCCTGATCTGGCCATGATGACCATGGTGCAGTAACCTTGAGGATGGATTACTGTAATGTGCTCTTCATGGGACTGCCTTTGAAGACTGTCTTTGAAGACTATTTGGAAATTACAGCTAGTGCAAAAAATTACAGCTAGCCCATTTATTATCAGGGGCTAACCAGCAGGATCATGTCACTCCTGTTATGGAAGTCCCCTCACTGACTGCCAGTTTCTGAGTCCAATTCAGGGTGTTTGAGCTAACCTTTGAAGACATTCATGACCTGTGGCCCACATACTTGAAGAACTGCCTCTCTCTCCATGTTCCAGAAGCTGCAGCTTCATTAGTCTTAGCAGGCTCTAGTATCAGTACCCCTCTTGTCTAAGGAGTGCATGTCTAGATGATCGGGCCTCAACCCTATCAGAGAATAAAAACTGAGTTGTATTTCTATAGCACGTAAGTGAGACATGGCTCAGATGTAATGAAATATGGTTCAGAAAGGGCTTATTACTGTTCTCCCTTGAAACGCAGGTGTCAGGCCCCCTCTGCTCACGTGGAGTCGCGCCCCCTGTGGCCCTGGTGCCGGAGTCCGAGTTGGGTTCTGGAGGAGGGACGGGCAGTCCGGGTGACGGCTGGGTCCAAAAGGGGTGTGTGTGAGGGGCCTCAGACAGGCAGGGGACAGGGTTAAGCTCACCCTGTACGTCCCTCTGCCAGCACGCTGCAACTTTTCCTCCTCTCTTCTTCTCTCTCGCTCTCTCTTCACCTTGCCGTTCCAGCGTGTTCCTCCTCCCCGGCCCCTTCTCCGTCCTGCCTTTTATTCCCTTTTCCCATCCCTGGGACCGCTCCTCCACCCTCCTTGCTTAGACCCGCCCCCCTTTAAGTATGGAGACTCCTCGCTGCTCCTGCCCATCAAAGCTTGTCCCTGGCCCGTCAGCCCTGCCTCCTTGCTCCTAGTCGTGTCTGCTGCTGCGCGGGCCCCGCTCTTGCTTCCTGGTCCTGCCAGTGCGGTGTTCATCGAGCGCTGCCGATGAACTTGTCTCCCTTGCGGCCGGGTTGGGTCTCTCTCTCAGCGGTAAGACTGGCGGTGGGAGTCTTGGAAGGCTTGGTGGGGGTCCCGGGATCCGGTCCTCCCGGCCCGCGACCCCCGGAGCAGGACAGCAGGGCAGGAGATACTGGTGTTCTGAAGAATCCTCAAATTGGCACTGGCAGCATTTTTAGGGATAGCCAAGAATGCATGTGTTGCTTGTGAATGCTAGTGGTACTCTTGCATGATGACTCATTGTTTTCTTATGCTAATATAGTCACCAAATGAAACATAGGATCTTCGACGTGGTCTCTGTGCTTCACACCCATGGGATCTAGTGCGCATGCGCTGGATCGATCGGTGCTGTAGCAAGCTCTTTTAACAGATTTTCGCGCCCAGTCACTCGGGCATCCGCAGGAACCCCACCGCGCATGCCCAGAGGGGTGGCCTCGGACATCCTGTCAGTTCCTTTCTTACCGCCGCCTTGAGTAGACCTCTTTTTCGTTGGTCATATCGGTTCGCTTTTGGCTATTCGCCTCACAGCTCTTAGGAGTTATTTTCTTATTTTGATTTTCCTCTCTTCTCTTTTTATTTGTTTGTTCTTCAAAAAAAACTTTTTTAAAAAAAACTTTATTTTCTGTTGAGGGCAGGGGTCATTTCGTAGAAAAAGAGCTAGGGGAACTCATTAGCATAACTCATTAGCATATGCCACACCCCCTGACATCACCGGAGGTGTGTCATAAGGCCACACCTCCTGACATCACCAGAAATGTGTCATAAGGCCACACACCCCGCCCCCAACGATCCCGGCTGCCGGTGCCGGCCTTGCAGCTCCACTGCCGAGCCCCATGAGGGGCCCGGTTCCTTTCTTACCGCCGCATTGAGTAGACCTCTTTTTCGTCGGTCAGATCAGTTCACTTTTGGCTATTCGCCTCACAGCTCTTAGGAGTTATTTTCTTATTTTGATTTTCCTCTCCTCTTTTTATTTGTTTGTTTTTCTAAAAAAACTTTAAAAAAAACCCTTTATGTTCTGTTGAGGGGGAGTCTACTGATTACCTCAGGCCTTCGGGCTACCCCCCCCCCAAACATTCCCTCTTCTTAGCTTTCTTTTATGAAGAAGAAGTGGGGATTTTTCAATAGGTGCACGGGTTGCGGCAGCAAACTTGCTCCTCCTGACCGTCATACCCTGTGCATTTTTTGTCTCGGAGAGTCTCACCAGCCAGAATCCTGTCGTCACTGTACTCGTTTTTCTAATCAAACGCAGAAAAACTGAGCTGCGCGCCTTAAAGTAGTGCTGCTTGAATCGGCCCTTACTCCTACCTCAGCGATGGAGGAGAGACTATCAATGCCGACAGCTCCGGCATCGAGACCTACCTCCGATGCCGACCGCCTGACACCGAAGCTCCTGACATCGAAGGTGCAATCTTCCGCTTCCACGCCAATCAAGAAGAAAGCCAAGGCAAGTAAAGATCATAGGTCCGCGAAGAAGGGCACCTCAAAGTCCCTTAAGGCGGCGAAGAAGGGGAAGGAAGCGATGCCTGCACTGGGTGATGCCCCTACTGTCCCTCCCGCTCCAACGGCAGTATCGATATCGGAGGCCCAACTCCCTCCGCCAATACCGACCATCCAACTACTGGATTCCCCCCTCCAACAAGTGGAGCGTCCTTACTCCGACATCGAGACGGTGGAGCTCCTAAGTCACCAAATGGGTGCAGAGCCTTCTCCCTCTCCTTCGACTTCGTCGGCATCGATGATATCGGAGGCTCCTGATGTCGAAACACGTTGGTACCGACACACTTCTTGCAGTACGCAACGTCATCCTCCACGTCTCCATGTCCAATCTGTCAATATCGACAACCGAGACTACAGGGACGGTTCTCACAGACAGGCTATTGCTTTGTCTCCCAGACGTCCACGGTCCAGAAGTCGATCCCCCCGAGTCTTCATGCCCCCTCCACCACCGATATCATGGTTTTTCTGTTGGAAATATCGTGGGATCGACGACAGTTGAAGTACCTGTACGGGGCATATCCACCATCCATGCCGTGGTTGACTCTGGTGGGCTATTCTGATTGGGATCACTATTCGTCCCACTCTGTTCATAGATCGAGGTCGCCCCACAAATCGAGACCTTCGGCATCTCTGTCTCGTCCTCCTGCAGACGATACTTCCCACCATAGTCTGGAACCAAGTCGTCCTCCCAACCCTCAGGTCACTCCAAACCCTGTCGTTCCAACAAAACCCATAGCTTGTCAAGAGGACACTTTGGTCCAAATACCACACCAAGACTCCTCTGACTCCATGGAAGAAGATTCAGATACGGAAGCATCTGAGGCTCATACCTCTCCTGACAATAAATCTCCCAACCAGGATGTCGCTGAGGACCTACCCATCTCCCCATCAGACAACCTTATGTCATACACAGATTTAGTCAAAAGAATGGCCCACTGTTTAGGCCTCTCTGTTGTCCAGCAACATCCGCAGGCAACAGATGCCGTTTTTGATATAGTCCAGCTTGATACCTCTTCCACCTTGGCATTGCCCATGTCTTCAGTCCTTTTGCAGGCAGCAAAGGCACCATGGCTAAAACCCTTGTCAGCCCCAGTGTCCACGAGACGACTG